CCCCTCGGACGTCTACGATACCAACTGACCGCTGTATGAGGCCGCTGCTGTCGTCTGCACTATAAGAAGAGAATCCTTGCATCGCTCATCACTTGGCAGCCGCGACGGCAGTCCACGCATCATTCTAAAACTGCGCTACTTTGCAGGTTGGTGTTTTACTATATAATACTACCCGAACATTTAGAAAACTTGCCGTCGCTGCTGCCAATTGTGTTGTTGTTCACGATAAGGTGTAACCGACCCAATGGCGAAGGACCTTACGCGCCTTTTCGCAGAATTGCGGGATGAGATGAGGACCGAGTGGAAATCCTTGAGGGAAACGATAGAGAGGGACTTTCGCAATGAAATTCGTGACCTCCGTTCAGATATACGGGAAGTGAAGTCTAGTATGGATTTTATAAATGCTGAATTTGAGAACATGAAGAAGAAACTTGCAAGCGAAGTCGAGACAGTTTCTGCGTTAAAAAAAGAAAATGATGAGCTTCGAGCGAGGTATCACGCCCTTGAGGGGGATGTGAAAGCAAACCGGATGAGCATTGTCCAATGCGAACAGCACTCTCGCGCCTACAACCTAGAGATAAAAGGAATGGCAGTTATTGAAAACGAGGATCTTCATGCAACTTTGTGCAAGCTTGGTGAACTAATTGGCGAACCGATTGATAAACAAGATGTTGAAATCTGTCACCGAGTCCGCACACGAGAACTAAACAAGCAAAATATTATCGTGCAGTTCGTGCGAAGAGAGAAACGCGAAAAGGTGCTTGCAAAAGCCAGGAAAAAGCGACTCACGAACAAAGACTTCGGATTATCGACTGACACCGCGGTCTTTGTAAACGAGCATTTGTGCCCGACCTTGAAGAAACTACTTGGAAAGGCCACTGCAAAAAAGCGAGACGCGGGATGGAAATACATGTGGGTGCGAAACAGCAAGATTTGGGCCCGTAGATCTGAAACCGCAGATATCGTATCGATAGAACACGACGGTGATCTCGACAAGATTTGTTAAGCCAAAATTGTAGGATAAGCGTTTTCCTTTTTATTGTTTTTTTCTGCTAGGTAATGGCAGACAACGATCTGTTTCTTCCGCAAGATATTTGTAACGAAACAAATAAAACAAGTAAACTCTTGAAACTTTTTCACTTGAATGTTAGGTCAGCTAGATCTAAGATAGACGACCTTATGTTTCTTTTTGAGTCATGTAAATGCTCGTTCGATGTCATAATGTTCACGGAAACGTGGTACAGAGATGAAACAGATTTTTTTATTCTCCCCAAGTATAATCATTTTTATCAAAATCGTGTTTCCGGGCGGAGGGGTGGTGTCGCTATGCTTGTCGCGAGTGATAATTTCGAAAATATTCCTGAATACACATCTGTTACGGGTGACTATGAAATACTGTGTATAAAACGGGACTTTTATATTTTTGCTGTTATATATCGTCCGCCCAGCGGGAATGTGGCACGATTTTTGACATTTCTAGATAAACTGCTGTGTCACGCAAACGAAAGCAAATATGTTCTTTTTATTGGTGGCGATCTAAATATTAATTTGTTGGAAACTAGCCCCAACGCGGCCGACTTGTTATTATTGTTAACGGCGAACAATTTTGTTAATGTAATTACTCATCCCACACGCACTACACTTTCTACATCAACATTAATAGATCTTTTTATTACAAACCATGAGAAGGAAAAGATCAAAGCTGGCGTAATAAGCTCCTATATTAGCGACCATCTGCCCATATTTATGCTAGCTGACACAACACGAGAGGTACATAAGCGTGACACAAATTCTATGACTTTCCAAAACATTACACCACTTACACTAGATGCATTTAGGCAGAAATTATTGGCCACTGATTGGACCGATGTACTGAACTCAAAAGACGTGGATAGTGCATACAACGCGTTTTTGGAAAAATTTAAACAGGTTTATTTTTCTTGTTTTCCAAATAAAACTATTAAACTTGCTCGGAAAGGACGAAAGCCTTGGATGACCACTGCACTCCTTAAGAAGACGCGTATAAAATATAAACTTTATAAAACATTTCTTGTGACACGTGAGGCAGTGGCATTAGTCAATTTCAAAGAATACAGAAACCAATTAACAGCGGAAATTAGAAAATCTAAAATAATTTATTATTCTAGTCTGTTTGATGCTGAGTGTCTAAAAAAGGCCGATATATTATGGAAACGTATAAATAGTGTTTTCAATTCGTCTTACAAGCCAGAAAGTTTTGAAAATTTTAAACATAATGGAGAGGTCTTAAGTGCCTCAAACCTGGCAAACGTATTTAACAACCATTTTGTGAATATCGGGAACAACTCTTATTATCATGAAGCGTCAGAAAATATTAAGCCTATCTCGGAATCGCTCTTTATGTACCCCACATATGAGACTGAAGTGTGTTCCTCTATTATGTGTCTGAGTAACAGTGGCAGTCGTGATGCGGATGATTTACAAATTAAACCTGTAAAATATGTAGCAGATATTATTGCCCCATATATAACATACATATACAACCTCGCAATATCTTCCGGTATCTTTCCTAAAAAAATGCAAATCGCGAAAGTTGTAGCTTTATTCAAATCAGGAAACAAAAATGAGTTAGGAAATTACCGTCCTATATCCATTCTTCCAGTATTCTCAAAAGGGTTAGAAAAGATTTTTCACTCCCGCATTATTAATTTCTGTGATAAGCACTCGCTCATTACTGACTGTCAATTTGGATTCCGAAAACATAGATCGACAGAAACAGCCTTATTAGTTCAAAAAGAACATATACTTAGAAATTTCGAAGACAAAATTTTGACGCTTGGGTTGTTTTTAGATTTCAGCAAAGCATTTGATTGCATAAATTATTTAATCCTGCTAGATAAATTATTTTCTTATGGCATTCGCGACCTTCCACTCACACTAATTAAGTCCTATTTACAGCATCGCTCCCAATTTGTGCAAATTAAAAATCAGAGATCATCACCTTTAAATATATTATCAGGAGTTCCCCAGGGAAGTATCCTCGGGCCACTTCTTTTTTTGTTATATATAAATGACATAGTGAAACTCGATTCAAGTTGCAAATATATTATCTATGCAGACGACACCAGTGTATTTTTTTCAGATTCATCCGAGGAGGGTCTTGTAAATAAAGCAAATGCGTTTCTTATAAAATTAAAAACATGGGCTGAAGTAAATAGTTTAACTATTAATGTCTAAAAAAAAAAGCAATAATATTTCGCCCACGTGGTTCGAGCGATAGATTATACAATCCTCTCAAATTTGGATCCTTGCACATTGAATTTGTAAATAGTGTTAAAACACTTGGAGTTATTTTTTGTGATAATATGCTCTGGACTAACCATATAAGAAAGCTCTGCTCTAAACTGGGTAAATCTGTAGGAATTATGAACAAACATAGACATGTTCTACCGAAAAGCGTAAAAAGGGTTTTATATAACTCATTATTTTATTCCCATTTGTGTTATTGCAATCTCGTCTGGGGAAATACGTCTGATTCAAATTTAAATATGATACATTTATTGCAAAAAAAGGTGATACGAATAATATCAGATGTTTCTTACATTCATCACACCGAATCATTGTTTCAATTATATAGGATCCTTAACATACAGCAAATTTATAACTACCGTTTAACAATAGCTTACAGAAATGCTACTTACGGCCGTTCCAGTACAATTCTTCAACTATCTGAACTAAAAGAAACAGAGAATCATTACCCGTCTAGACATCACCAACCTTGGAAAATTCCGAAATGCAGGACAAATTATGGAAAACAAACAATACGTTATGCTTTACCTTTTTTGTTGAATGAATATTGTGATCAAAATATAGATGTTGTGAATATGTCAAACAGCAGTATACTCAATTTGTATTTTAATACTTAAGAATGTATTCCTTATGTGCGCACTATATTTGCATTGTTTATTTCTGAACGCATTTTATTTGTTTTTGTGTTCCGTCATAGCTGCTGAGTGGGGGGTCCGGAGCTCGTCAAGCTGCATTTCTGCAGCTTTTTCTCCGGCCTCCCATTCACCACATGTATCTGTGGTGAGAATAAAGTTTGTATTGTATATTGTATTGTATAGCGGCACGGCGCCTAGGAGAATCGAAGGTCGTATTATTGACATTCAGCGGAAATGTCAAGCCGAGGTACGTGTACTTCTACGGTGGCGCATACAGAGTGTACGAGTACACACCCAGACGACAGGTGTGCTATAGGTGCATGCGAGTGGGGCATCGCGCCGACGTATGTCCGTACGAGGCAGCTTGCAGAGACTGCGGAAAGACGCACCCGAAGGAGGAAGGGTGCGTCATCAAGTGCGTACTGTGCGGGAAGGGTCATCGCACCGGAGACAGAGAATGCGAAAAGAAGTACAAGGCGCCGCCTGATGGGCGGTTCAGAAACTTACCAAAAGCGAGTACTTGGGCCGGTAACAGAACAGAACAAGCGGCAAACATAGAGCACAATATGGGGACGACAGAGACAAGCAAGATGCATGAAATATTACAACAAATAGAGAACCTAATGAACGGAGGAACGACGGCTTTACTAGAAGTGGTCAGGAAAAGTGAGGAGCTTGCGGCAGAAGGGCGCAAGCAGCATGCAATAGAGGGAAAAAAGCGCACAGAGGCGAAAAGAGTGAAAGAACTGCGGGAGGCGGAACAGAGGAAAGCCGAGCAAGCGGAAAGAGAGAAGCTGCAGGCAAAAAGGAGAGCTGAGAGGGAGAAGCAGGCAAGAGCCGGGCAGGGGGACAGAAGGCCGGTCATATTGGAGAGGAGAACGAATTGTGAGACAGATATGCAAGCAAGGTGTGTTACAGGGGGAGAGCCGAGCAATACTGGAAACATGCACGAGCGCCCCGATAGAATGGAGCAGAGAATAAATGTGTTTATGGAACAATGTCAGAATGCGATTCAACAGAGCCTAAGCCTATTTATGGAGCAAATCATGGAAGCAATGGAAATCAAGGCCGGTAAACATGGCCAAGTCTAAGCACAGGGAAATCAAAATATGGCAATGGAATTGTAAAGGCTTAGGACCCAAAGCTAAGAATCTGCAGTTCTTCATAAACGGTGACGGGCCGGCAGTGATGGCGCTGCAGGAAGTCAAGACAATAGCGAAGGTAACGGGGTATGACGCGTACTTCAATAGCATGGAGAAACCGGCGGTAGCTACGCTCGTCAGTAAGAACTATACGGCGATCGTGCACGATACGGAACAAGACATCGATAACGTTCTTTTAGAACTGGTGCCTAAAAGAAGAGGAAGAAACGAGAGCGTTTTCATTTTGAATGTATACTCGAGGAAACAAAAGGACGTTTTCGAGGAACTCTTCAAAGAAGCGATTAAGGCCGCGGGAGACAACGCACTGCTTATTCTCGGGGACTTCAACGCCGCACACGAAAGCTGGGGTTACAAATACAGCAATGGCATGGGGAAGAAACTCTTGGAAACAATTGAAGAGGAGGGGCTTTCGATAGAGAACGAAGTATGGAACCCGACGAGGACGGGCGGCGGGCGAACCAGCGACACGAGTCCGGACTTGACGATCTGCAAGAACGTAAAAGTAAAATGGTCAAACACATGCGAAAATTTGGGAAGCGATCACTATATCATAGAGATAGAGATGGAAACGGACCTCAGGGAAAGGAGCATAGGCAAGACCAGACACACAAACTGGGAAGACTTTAGAAAGGACGCGGAGCTCGACGGCGTTACGGACCCGGTCGTCTGGGCGAAAACGATCAAGGAAGTGATGAAGAAGAACACCAGCGAGGTAAAGCTGACGCCCAAGTACCCCGCGGCGGATAGCAAGGTCATGGCGATGTGGGACGAACGTCGGAAGCTCACGAGGAGATGGAAGCGGCAGCGATACAACCGCAAGATCGGAAAGAGAGTGGCGGAAATGGACCGGCAAATAGAAGAGTACGCGCAGCAACTTGCTCGGCACAACTGGGAACAACGGTGTGAAGATATGAAGAAAGGCACGGGACTCGGCAACAAGGATACGTGGGCTTTGCTCAACTATCTCGTGGATCCGACCAAGATGAGGAGCGAAGGAAGCAAGACGATGCAAAGAATCATTCACCAATTTAAGGGAATCGATCACGAACTCATAGAGTACGTGCGACAAAGATACATCCCGGACGGAACGAGAGCTGCCGGAGTATTCAGGCAGACCAAACCAGGAATTGGACGAGAAGATTAGAATTGGGGAAGTCAAGGCTGCGGCGAGGGAAGCGAGAAACAGCACGCCGGGCAGAGATGGAGTCACCAACGGAGCATTAAGAAACCTACCAGAGAAGGAGTACAGGAGACTCACCGATATGTTCAACGAAGTCTGGAAGCAAGGAAAGCTGCCGGATGAGTGGAAGCAGTCCGATATATAGTTTATTTCAAAACCGGGGAAGATGATCGGACTCGAAATCCTGAGGCCGATCTCTCTGACTTTGGCGGTTGGGAAGCTAATGGAAAGAGTCGTCAAGAACAGGCTGCAACCGTACATCGAGGAGAACGGCTTCTTCCACAACGCAATGTTTGGTTCAGGCCTTACCTTAGTACGCAGGACATTTTTGCGCTTTTATAAGAAAACGTACTGGATGAATTTCCTAAGGGCAGGAACACCGAGCGAGTGGTCATGGCGATAGACCTGAAGCCGGCGTTTGATAACGTCGATCACGAATACGTGATGGAAAGGCTGGCGGCGATGAATTGTGGCGAGCGTACTTACAACTACGTGAGGGACTTCGTGAGAGACCGGAAAGGAAGAATACATGTTGGAGATTTGCAGTCCCAAACTTGTGGGACTCACAAATAGGGGAACGCCACAGGGAGCGGTAATATCGCCACTAGTGTTCAAGATCGCCATGATGGAACTACCGAAAAAGCTCGACGACATAGACGGCCTCGGCTTCGCGTTTTACGCGGATGACGTCACGCTGTGGGTCGGAAGCAAAGAACTGAAGCTAGGAAGGAAAGTGGAAATTCTCCGGCAAGCGGTGAAGCGAGTCGAAGAACACGTAAAGAGGTGCGGGCTGGAAATTTCGGTGGAGAAATCGGAGATACTTCGGTTACACGGTGCAGGATACGACAAGAGTGTCCCGATCGAAATCACGGTCGGCGGGAAAATGGTACCGGAGAAGGACTGCATCCGAATACTCGGTATGTAGCTGCAATCCAACGGAAAGCCGAGCACGATGATCGATAAGATCAAGACGTCGGCGAAACAGATCTGCGGTATGATCAAGCGGATCGCAAACAGGAAAAAGGGATTTAAGGAAGCCGAGACGCTGCGGATAGTAGACTCGCTAATCGTAAGCAAAATGAGATATTGCCTTCCATACTACAACATGACGAAGGCAGATGAGAACAGGGTGGACTGCATACTACGGGAATCTTACAAAACTGCGCTGCATCTACCGGCGTGCACGCCGACAGAGAAGCTCGAAAAGATGGGAATCACGAACACTTTCCGGGAATTGAGAGACGCGGTCATATTGGGACAAAAGGAGCGATGGAGGTTCAGCAAGGTCGGAAGGGAGACCGGAGTCCGGCTCGGCTACGGCGATATAAGGACGAGAAACCTGAAAGAAAGGCAGCTGACCCAAAATTTGGTGAAACGATACAGAGTAAGCCCCATACCGCGGCACATGCACCCAAAAATACACAAGGAACAGAGAAAGGCAAGAGCTGACTACTACAGAGTAAATATGGAAGGAAGAGAGAACGTCATGTACACCGATGCTGCGGCGCATGGTAGCAACAAAGTCGCGGTTTGCGTTGGGCATGACGGAAAAGAGCTGGACAGTTTGTCGCTGAAAGACGCGACAATGACGGAAGCAGAGGAGGTGGCGATCGCAATGGCGATCAGAGCGGGAAAGGGGCACACGTACATTCTGACAGACTCGCAGAATGCGTGCAGGAATTATATGAGAGGCAGAGTGTGCGCTACTGCCGCGAAAATCCTAGAGAGAGCCGTAAACGGTTCGCCAACTTTCGAAATTATCTGGGTCCCGGGGCATGAGGGTGTTCCAGGTAACCAGGCTGCAGACCTTCGGGCCCGTGGATATGTCGACCGGGCAGAAGCGAGGCAGTGGGTGTACTCGGAAATGCTGGACCACTTCAAGGCCCAGAGGAGACAGTACGGGCTCCCGTGCCGGGAACAAAGCAAAGCCGAGAGTATTGCCTGGCGAAGGATCCAGGCGGGCAACTACACTAACCCGGTGCTCCTGAAACACATGGGGCGCAGAGACGACGACGCCTGCAAACACTGCGGGCAAAGAGCCACTTTCTCGCACATGGTGCGGGCATGCCCGGACACTCCAGGGCTTGGCGACACTATTGAAGACCGGCGGTGGAAAGAGATGCTGCGCAGCGAGGTCTACAAGATCCAGGTACACCTGATCAACCGGACCAAGCTAGCAGCAAGCTCCCAAGGGATCCCGGACTAGAGGATTCCACTCACCGAACCGAAAACCCCGTTCCCTTCCCCTTTTGCTTTGGCAATAAATGTTTTACCACCACCACCACCACCACCAAATTTCGAGATACCGACGCACACTAGACTTTTTGTGGAACCTTGTCCCCCCCCCCCCCCCCCCCCCCTTCCTTAAACTTTGATTTTAGAACAGGATTTTCGCCGCTTCTGCTCCTTTTCTTCTTGAGAATTTGTTCTAGTCCTCAATACTCTTGTTCTAGCCTCAAATAACAACGAGCTTCCCCGTGATTTATTATACCAATGTTCCTTTCGTATTTCTTGTTTTCGTTCCTTATACATAGTTAAGGCCTGATTCTTCCTGCATTATTTTTCTCCACATTATTCGCTCGGCTTCTTTTCCTTCCTTTTCCACAGAGGTCGTCTGCTTTTCCCCAGCACTTGGCTGCTGGTATTTCAATTTTAATTTTTGGGTTCGGTTTCTTCATTAAGTGCTCAGACTTTTTTATATATAGATGCTTATATATGCATTTCTCCCGTCGTGTATCCTCCATCGTGTATAGCCTTCGTTCAAACTTTAACTTACGAATCGTCTCTTTAACCTCAAAAGATGCCCAGCCCATGCCTTTCTGCACTCCTTTATTTGGTGGATACCTATGCCCCCAAGTGCCAGTCTGCCCAGGCTCCTCGGCCAGGCCCCGAAACTCGACTGGTCCTTAGATTTCATACATAATACCGTGTTGCAGAAAACAAATTCGACACCAAGACTCCTTTTTATATTCCACTAACAACTTCATACCTCTTGTAATTCCATACTACCCTATTCTTCATGATTGGTGCATTCGTTTCTTTATCCTATTTCCTTCCTTTCTTGAAAGTATTGTATTCATTTATTCAGTCATGCTCCTAGATGTTTATACTTATCTACGCGCATGTTTTATTAAAATGTCTTGAATTTTCGGTAGGTCCCCCTATGAACCATTATTCCTGACTTGTCGCTGCAGGAATTTCAGGCCCATATTGTCTTATTACTCACCACAGATCTTAATTAGCTCTTGTAACCTATCCCGGCTATCTGCTAAAAATACAATGTTGTCTGCGTAGAACATTCCTGACATAAGTTGGTTCACTCTTCCTCCCCCCTTCTGCATATATGACAGATTAAAACCTAAATGCCACTCTTCTAATTTGCCTCAGTTCTCTTTTATTTCTGCTTTCCTAGTTGTACCCCGAGTTTTTCACGACTCATATTGGCGTACGCCTCTTTAATATCTTGAAATGCTATCCATGACAGTTTTTTACTCACCCGTGCCACCTCTATACTTTGTGTGATAATGAGTAAGTCGTCATATAATCTTCTTTATCATCGGAGCCCGTTCTGTAGATTACCTAAAATGTTTTCTGCCTATTCTTTCATTCTTCTTTTTACTGTCTGCATTGGCAGTTTGTACAGGACTGAAGATACTGTTTTGGGGCGGAATGATGTTAGGCTATTTTTATTTCCCTTGCCTCTATGTATTAATCACATTCTTCTCAGTTTCCAATCATTGAGCACCTCTCTACCCTTATTTTTCTATTACTGGCCTTCCTTGACTTTAGTTTTATTCTTGTTCCTAGTGTCTGGACTAGTCTCATTCCTATGCTATCTGGGCCTGTCGGCGTTCCAGCCGGTACTTTACTTTCTGCTCTGTCCCATTCCCCCGTGGTCGTCTAAGTAGTCTCGTTAGTGTTCTCGACTTGTGCCGTGTTGCTTTCTGTGTTCTAGCCAATCTCGTTCGGTTCAAGCTCTGCAAAAGTTGCCTCAATGGTTCGTCTAATAAATACCCTTGCCTCCTTGTCCTCCACACTTATTCCTTCCTGTGTAGTCACTGAACAATGGAACCCTTCTGTTTTTTTCCCCTGCCCATTAATGTGCTCCTAGGACCTCTATATTGCATTCCTATCAATTTGATTTACCTCCATCATCCACTGCCCTGCAGCTCTGCCAATCTTCGCCTAAATTAAAAAAGATTCCTCTCCTTTTCTTTCCTGAATTATATCCCATTTTGATGCTACTTCAGCGGCTGTGTCCCCCCTTTTCTTCGCCCATCTGTGTTCCCTTCAATCATCTTGTCGCCCTGATGTGGCCGCCTTAACTTCACTGTCCCACCAGCTTTTTTGTGTGTGTGTGTTTCTGTTTCCTTCTCCTCCCTCCTCTTTGATTGATTTTAATTTATCTAACTCTCTTTTAAAAGGGTTTATTGAATCATCAGGTCGCCACTCTCCCTTTAGTTGTCTGCGAAGTACAGTCTCAATTCGGCCTTTCCACCCGCTTTCCTCCTTGCCACTCGACAGCGCAGCGCATGCGCACTTGCGACCGATTTCCACCGGTAGCGTCCCCGCTTAAATTGCAGACGCCTCCCCGTGGTTCGAGATGGACACTCTCTACAATCTAGGCTCTCTAGTCTAACGTAGAGAGCCAAGATTTAAGAGAGGTAACAACTCCCAGGCACACTAATTGGTAGTGCGCATGCGTCACCCTGTCGCGAGGAGAGAAGGAAAACGACTGGGAAGGGGGAGACGCTTGCAGGCGACTAACGCTTCTATGCCCTCCTCGCAATTCGTAGCGCAAGCGCGGCCCACAAACTACGTGACTCCGATCGAGTAGTTGGAAGCTCGCTGCAATATTGGCTCTCAAATGAGCGGTGAAGCGTGAATTCTCCTCGTTAAGGATTCGCTGTGATTGAGCTATTATTGACAAGAGCCGAGTGGAAACTAAGTTGTGAGGCGACGAA